TGGGTTAAGAATGGCTAAAATGGCTTATTGAATGGCATAAAAGAAATAGAAATTGGTTAAAAAGGGACTAATTTATTGAGTATGTAAGGCTGAGCAAATAGAGGAGTCTAACCACAAAATTTAGCAGACCTATAGAGCTTATTTTAAACTCTAAAATGTGTGATGGATCACTCCAATTAAAGTTTTGTACAAAAGTTATGCATCTTCAAAGTTAACATAAAAATCTGAAAAGTACAGTTTTAACTAAATAAATAGTAAACTTTAGCAAATTAACTGTACGAATTGGTTTAAGTCTAGATATATATTTTTCCTATATAAACAATTAATAGACTTCAAATAGAAATTAGAGTTACTTCGTTTTGATTTTTCTTGAATTAGTTATGAATTTTCAAAGTTGGTCAAAATTTTAAGGTTACCCAGACTACTACAAATTGGGGAATACTTGACGCTAAATATTTGACGGTTATCACAAAAACCGTCAAATATAATCCCCCAGAAGAAAACTTGACGGTTTCTAAAGAAACCGTCAATTTTAGTAGAACAATAATTGACGGTTTCTTTGAAACCGTCAAGTATTCCAAAAATACTTGACGGTTATTTTATAACCGTCAAGTATATTATAGGTAAACTTGACGGTTTAATGAGAAACCGTCAAGTTTAGTAATACTTGACGGTTTTGATTTAAAACCGTCAAATATTCTTTGAGAATACTTGACTGTTATTAATAGAAACCGTTAAGTATTGTGATTAAAAACCCGTCCCTTTCCTGTTCAGTCTCTTCAGTTCAAAATTTCTAACGCCTCCTTCCGCTTCGGACTCTCCAAGCCGCCGTACCCACCACTTTTTCGGCCGTTCCCTTTTGTTTTTTTTGCTCGTCCTTGCTCGTCCTCCATCATCGTTCCTCTCGGTGTCCTCCATTATCGGTGTGGCATCCTCCTGCTTCGTCATTGTCGTGCATTCTCCCAATTGCGCCCCCTTCCGCTTCGGACTCTCCAAGCCGCCGTACCCACCTTTTTTTCGGCCGTTCCCTTTTACTTTTTTTGCTCGTCCTTGCTCGTCCTCCATCATCGTCCCTCTCGGTGTCCTCCATTATCGTTGCGGCATCCTCCTGCTTCGTCGTTGTCGTACATTCTCCAGATTGTCATTTCGGCTTCAGGTTGGTAATCCTTCACTCACTCCCCTTATTTCCTTTAGTTCTTCCTTTGAGAAATGATTGTAGTGGAAAGGGAATGATAGGATAATGCTAGGACCATTCACCATGCACACACGGAAAATGGGTTTGCTATTTGGCCGAATGGGTTTTTTTTCTGTTCTTGATTCTAAATGGGTGTTTCGCATTTTGATCAGTTTGGGTTTAGGGTGTTTTAGTTTTTTGTTTTCGCCATAAAGTCTGGGGAATGCAATGCTAATGTTTCAATTTTTGTTTTTGTAATTGAAATTGACTATGTGCTGGTTTGGTTTTCTGCCATAAAGCCTGGGGAATTCTAAGTTATAAGCCGTTATGCTGCCGAATTTTTTTCAAATGGAATAGCACATTAGTAGTAGTAGAATATTTTTCAAACTGAAGTGAAAGTAAATTTTTGTTGAATTACTAGTTGCTAACAACTACTAGTTGTTAGCAAGTAGAATTAAAGAGGGATAAATGTGATCAATAGTGGCTCATGTGTTGACTTTCTATTTTTGTTTAATTCTCATAATATCTTTGAGTCACTGATCACATTTTCCTCTAAATGATTCATCTTAGTCGGGGACCATGGGCAAATAATGGATGTCCGCCAATCGTCTATCAAAAGAATATTGGGATGGGGTAGAAGATTTTATTAAGTTTGCGATTGAGCACGCCGATGATCGCAATAGGATTATTTGCCCCTGTCTTAAGTGTTGCCTTTTGAAGTGGGTTTTGCCATCCGATTGTGAGAGCCACTTAATTATCAATGGAATTGATCAAAGTTACAAGTGTTGGACAAAGCACGGAGAGACAAGAGATGTGAGTAATAGTAGTCGAGGGCATAGTGAAAGCTGTGGATCATCTAATCTTGACATGAGTACATGTGAAGCTGATCGTCTTGAGGAGATGACAGATGCGATTGAACGGGAACTTGACGATTGTCCTGAAATGTTTGATAGATTGAAGTGTGATGCTGAGACACCTCTATATGAAGGTTGTACTGATTTCACAAAATTGTCTGCAGTGTTGAAACTGTATAATTTGAAAGCAAGAAATGGGTGGAGCGACACAGGCTTCACAGAACTGCTGTTGCTTGCTAAACAAATGCTACTGAAAGAAAATGAGCTTCCAAGTAAAACGTATGATGCAAAGCAAGTGTTGCGCTCTGTCGGCCTCAGCTATGAGAAGATACATGCTTGCCCCAATGATTGCATTTTGTTTAGGAAGGAGTATAAGTCACTAACTGAGTGTCCTAAGTGTAATGCATCACGCTACCAAGAGAATAGGAAGAGCCCGAAGAAGGCATTATGGTATTTTCCCATAGTGCCAAGATTCAGACGCTTGTATAGTAATGTAGAAGATGCGAGAAATTTAAGGTGGCATGCAGATGAAAGGGTTAAAGATGGCATGCTTCGCCATCCTGCTGATTCTCCAGAATGGAAGAAGTTTGATATTGAGTATCCTGAATTCGGGGAAGAAGATAGAAATCTACGCCTTGCATTAGCCACTGACGGGATGAACCCTTATGGGATGCAAAGCAGCACCCATAGCACATGGCCAGTGATTTTGTTTATATATAACCTTCCTCCATGGCTATGCATGAAACGCAAGTATTCAATGATGTCTATGATAATCTCTGGGCCAAAGCAACTGGGAAATGACATAGATATATATCTAGCTCCATTAATTGAAGACTTGAAAGTATTGTGGGAGAATGGAGTTGATGTATATGATGCATATAAGGAAGAAAAATTCAACTTGAGAGCTATGTTATTTGGCACAATTAACGACTTTCCTGCGTATGGTAATCTCTCAGGGTATAGCATTAAAGGACAACTTGGTTGTCCCATTTGTGAAGAGAGCACAGATTCCATAAGGTTGAAGCATGGAATGAAAAATTCATATATGGGACATCGTAGATGGTTGCATCGTGATCATCCTTACCGGCGATTCAAAAAATATTTTAATGGGAATTCAGAAGAAGGTAAGGCACCAACACCGTTGATTGGGGAGGATGTATTTCAAAAGGTGAAAGATATAGATTGTGAATTTGGAAAACCTTTCGCGAAGCATGTTGGGACAAGTGGGTGGAAGAAGAGGTCTATTTTCTTTATACTGCCGTATTGGATAACCCTGAATGTGAGACATTTTCTTGATGCTATGCATATTGAGAAAAACGTATGTGAAAGTCTGTTTGGCACATTACTCCATATTCCCGGGAAGACTAAAGATGGCATAAATGCCAGGCTAGACATGGTTGAAATGGGGATAAGGGAGGAATTGGCACCAGAGGATAAGGGAACTCGTACATTTCTTCGTCCGGCAGCTCACACCCTTTCTAGAAAAGAGAAAAGTAGTTTTTGTGAGTTTCTTGCTTCAGTAAAAGTGCCGGAAGGTTACTCTTCTAACATTAGTAACCTTGTGTCAATGAAGGATATGAAGTTAAAAGGTTTAAAATCTCATGACTGTCATGTCTTAATGGAAAACTTTATTCCAGTGGCAATACGGGCTATTTTACCTGATAAGGTACGAGTTACGATCACAAAGTTATGTTTCTTCTTTAAGTCTCTTTGCAGCAAAGTGATTAATCCTAGTAAATTGCCAAGATTGCAAACCCGAATCATAGTTACGTTATGTGAACTTGAAATGTATTTTCCTCCGGCCTTTTTTGACATCATGGTCCATTTAACCATCCACTTAGTTAGAGAGGTCCAACTGTGTGGCCCAGTGTATTTAAGATGGATGTACCCAGTTGAGCGTTACATGAAAATATTGAAAGGGTATGTGAAAAATCGAAGTCGGCCAGAGGGTTGTATTGTAGAACGATATATTTGTGAAGAGGCTACTGAATTTTATACCCATTACTTAAAAAATGCAAGTGATATTGGGGTTCCAATGTCTCGTCATGAGGGAAGGACAGATGGAGAAGGGATTATGGGAAAGAAAGTCGTAACTATTTCAAGCCAACAGTGGGAGCAGGCACATCTATATGTATTGCACAACTCCGAAGAGATTGAGGACTATGTGCATGAGCATATTGATGAGCTAAAGAGGGATAATCCCAATAAACTTGAAAGTTGGTACACCAAAACACACAATAAACAATTTACAGCATGGTTGAGAGAGCAGGTGCATGGCAAGTATAATAATGATCCTAATTCTGTTTCGAAGAAATTAAAGTTGTTGGCAGATGGACCGAGCAAACATGTGATTTCTTTCACAAGCTACCTTATGAATGGGTTCACTTTCTATACTAAACAACAAGATGATCGGAGTAAACAGCAAAATAGTGGCGTAACTCTTGTAGCTAGTACCATGCATATATCGAGTGCCAAAGATAAAAATCCTATCTATGCACGTATGTCATACTTTGGAGTGATTGAGGATATTTGGGAGTTGGATTACATTGAATTCAGAGTTCCGGTATTTGGTTGCAAATGGGTGGATAATAATAATGCATTGAGGATTGATGACTTAGGGTTTATACAATTGAATTTGAATAAAGAAGGATACAAGGAAGAGCCATTCATTTTGGCTTCTCAGGCTACGCAAGTGTTTTATGTCCCTGACCCGGCTGCCAAAGGATGGTCTATTGTTTTGTTGACTAATAAAATGGATATTGAAGAGACGGGGTATGAAGACAATGCAATTGAAGATGATCCATTTCAAGGGGCCTCACTTGATTCTCATTTAAATGAAGATCAATCCATGTATGTCAGGCATGATCACAACGACGGAATATGGATTTCAAAGAGGGGGAAAGTGTTTCGTAAGAAGATCAAAACAATTCAAACCAAGAAGAACATGCAAAAACATAAGAGTAGAAAAAGAAAAAGATCTTCTTAAACATGCATGTAAATTCTCTCATTATTTTCTTTGATTCTTTTATTTGTTTTAATTTTGTTCAAATAAATTTCGTCATTAATGACTTTATTTTCATTTAATGGATTCTGATTCATTTTGTTTACTTCAATTTCATTGCAGATGGCAGACGATAGCGGATCTAGCACTGATAACCCATCTCAGCCGAGAGATGCCTCTGAGCAGGAGAGACAGTTGCAAGAGGAGGCAGCACGCATACAGAGGGGCCTTTGTGTCATGCAAGAGGTCGTGAAAGCTCGAACAGAAGGAAAGAAATTTGCCGTACAGTGGAATAAGAAAGGACAAGCTGTACGGTCAAATAAATTTATCAGCTATATTGGGGCAGTGGCACGAAGCACCGTGCCCATTACAGCGCAGCACTGGAGGAGGGTTGATCGTTCAGTGCGAGACACTATTTGGACAGATGTATCGGTAATATATTATAACAACTCAAATTTCGTTTTCTTACAAGCTGCGTGACACTAATGTGTTGTTTTATATGTTTTGCAGTCTGCATTTGATATAGATGAGAGCAGGAAGAGGTTTGTGGAGGGGAAGGCTGGGAGGGCATTGCGCTCTTTCCGATATTTTGTCACACACAAGTACTTGAAGGATCCTTCCACAGCCGACGAGTCCCAGGTTCCTAGCTTGATACGGGACTTGGTCAAACCAGAGGATTGGGCTGCTTTTGTGACGTCACGTCGTGATAGGCAATTTCAAGTAATAATCCTCGCTCTTTTTGATATTAAATAGTCCATTTTGTTTAATCTATATATTGTTTAATTGTGAATCTACTTTGTTTTTGCAGGAATTAAGTTCCCAAAATAAGGAAAGGGTAAAGAAGAATGAGTATCCCTACCGAAAGGGCCGCTTGGGTTATGCGGGCCTTGAGCAAGAGGTGACTCAGAAGGAGGGATCAGATGTCACTGTATCACGTCAGATGCTGTGGGCACTGGCCAGGCAAAATAAAGATGGCCAAATTGATAATCCTCGCGTTAAGGAGGTCGTGGACAGGATGGTGAGTATTATTCTAAATTAAATAATCTTCACGTTATTGTCAAATATCTTTAAGTATGAATAACTATATCAATGTTTGTTGCACAGGAGAGTTTGTCCCAGGAAGTTTCGCAGGGGGCATATTCTGCAGATGACCAGGATATATTGAGGAGGGCATTGGGGACTCCTGACCATCCTGGTCTTCTTAGGGGCGTCGGTTATGGAGTCACCAAGAGAGATTACTTTGGGTACCGACAAAAGCCCTCTTCATCGTGCACGCCTTCCTCTGCTGAGTTCATGGAGCTGAAGGAAGAAACACGCTGGTTAAAGGAGCAAGTTAAAGCGCAAGCGCTCCTAATCGAGCAGTTGATCAAGAATCAAGCACCACAGCCGGCTCCGAATCTCAGCCCAAGTGGCAAAGACAGCTGCACATTCCCCTTGCTACCTGAGGTATAATACTTGTGTTTATATAATTACATTCAATAATTTATATATCTAGCTAACTTGTCTCTCATGTTAAACAAATCAGGGTGAAGCGGACGTTCAGTGTATGGCGGATAGCCCTAAACATCACACTGTTGCAACGGGCCGCATGTTCAATTTACCGGGGGAGAGTATAATTCATAATGTTCCTCTCCCTGCTGATCATGTGAGGGTGCAGTTGAACACTGCTATTGATGCGAATTATGCCCTCCCGATACCCACCCCAGATGCAGAGACAGTGGCTCAAGCAGTGGGTAGCTTTGTCGCTTGGCCTGGCCGTCTTCTTACATTAGGACATCCTTCAAAGGTATATATGTATAGGTCTACAAATTCAGCTGATTTAAAATAAACTCTATTTTAATTACTAACAGTCTGTTTGTCAGTCTAAGGGGAAGAAGAGCCTATTGGGTGATCACTCATTATCATCACCACAGAAGCAGCCCTCTGAGCCCGTTCAAGTGGTATCATCAAGATTCCGAATATGTCTTGAGGAATATGCAATTGGGGCCAGATTAGAACATGGCGAGGATTTCATGATTCCCCTAGAGTTTGAGCCAGAGGTATACGGTCGACCCTCGTCAGATTATGTCACAAATGAAGTATTGAAAGAGATTCTGACGCATGGAATGGCCAGCACAAATGCCTGTAACTTTTATATCAGGTATTTGTTAAAACCTTAACTAAATACTTAAGTACTTGAACATTTATTCTATTGATATCTTCGTTTGTTGATTTAGATATCTTTTCAAGAACTTCATAGCCCCTGGTGGCCTTGATGACAAGTTCAAGATTATCAGCCCCCACACTTTTGCTGGCCACGGACCTAATATGAAGAAAGACTTATCCAGAGACTTGTTGGATATCTTCATTTCTAGGGCAACACCGGGGGCTCAGACTTTGTTTTTGGCGCCTTATTGTCAAGGGTAAACTTTCCTAAATTCTTTCATTTTCAAAATAATTTGTAATAGTTCTAATTGTCTTTCTTATACTTAGGGGACACTGGATGCTGATTGTGGTCAATCCCACAAAGCCGAGGATTTGGTATCTTGATTCTCTTCATGGGGATCCAACCAATCGACCATTTATGGTTTCATTGTTCAACAAGTAATATTTATCTCTATTATTTAAATTTAATTTAATTTCTTGCTTCAATCAAATTTTTGACAATCATTAATATTCAATTTTATTGTCTTCTCAGGGCTTTGTGGCTATACTGCACAAATCAGGCCTTACCCTGCCCCCCGATAAAAAACGGCCAATTTGACGATACCTTCCCGTGGAAGAAAGTGAAGGTATTCACTACCATTATTTACTATTCTACTAAATATGGTTTATTTATATGATTGACTAATATTATTTCCTTTTCCATTCTTTACAGTGCCCACGTCAGCCCAACAAGAGCTCCCATTGTGGATATTGCGTGATGAAATTTATGAAGGAGATAATTCTGCACAATGCTGACACAATTCCCACGCAGGTAATATGCATTTGTTAAGGTTCAATTTATATATTTAAGAATTATTGTACTTACTGTAGCTTTACATTTCTATCTAACTTAAGTCATAATTTGTGGTTGCATACAGTACTTTGCCGACACATATTGCACAGTGTATTCATCTGCTCAGATGGAAGAAATCGTTGAGGAGTTGGCGATGGCCTTATTCCGTCAGTGGGCACAACATAGATAGGGAAGTGTACATTAAGACAGTGTATGTACGTACAGCTAGCTTTGGTTTCAATATAATTTTGGTTTTGGTTCATTTTTGGCTGTTGGTTAGTTTTAGGCATTGCACAACTTTGGCAATTGGCTAATTTTGGAATTGGTTCACCTTTTGTACTTGCCAGAATTTTAATATATCACAGTTGGTTTTCATTGGTTCATGTATATATATGATAATGTAAATTATTTTTGGTTCATTAAGATATATGTATATGGCTGAATTGGTTTGAATGCTGGCCTGCATGATTCTGTTGAATGAGCCTTTGTTATCGGTTTCAAAATTGCAGGGGGCTGCTGGCAAAGGAGAACGAATATTAAAAAAAAAACCAATAATACTTGACGGTTATTAGTTAAAAGCGTCAAGTATTCTAACATACTTGATGGTTACTTTTAAAACCGTCAAGTATTAAATAATGCTTGACGGTTTTTCAAAAATAACCGTCAAGTATGTTTCATAATACTTGACGGCCACTTTTGGAACCGTCAAGTATTACAGAATACTTGACGGTTTTTGGAACCGTCAAGTATACTCTTAGAATAATTGATGGTTTTTCTTTAGTAACCATCAAGTATGATTAAAATATTTGACGGTTAATAACCGTCAAATATTTGCTGTTGAAATATATGACGCCAGTATAGTTGACGGTTTTTAACTGTCAAATATGATCCAAAATAACCATCAAGTATTTTTCATTTTGTAGTAGCATGAATAGTAACCGAGAAGAATGTTTTGAAAACTTGATTTTCTAATTTTGTGGCCATAAAATGTGGTTTCTTTTACTTCTATTTGATAACTTTTATGGTGAAAAATGAGAGATATGACATCCAACACCCCTATATGTGAGGAATGAAATTAAAAAAAAAAAGACTAACAGAGGACCATACAAGTTTCATAATTATAAGGAGGACCTTCCCTGTTTTGTAATAGAAAAACAGAGTAGACTAATGTGCCCATTATCAAAATAAGGGCTACCACTAATGATCTAGAGTACTATTGCAATCTCCCAGGCCTTTAAGAATCAATTGTATAATTTTTGGAATCTGCCTTTTTATATATATATATATATTTTATATTATATGATTGTGGAATCTCTGTAATTTTCGTTAGATCAATATGCATATAGCGAGAGTACTCAATGAGGGACCTGAGCTTGCTTTTAATTTACGAAGAGCAATTGTATGCATTAAAAGGCCATGTGGGTTTCTTAACTTTTTCTGCTTTACCTAGAAAATCAATGAACTCATGTGGTTTCCCGGTGAAGATGATGCGATGATGAAAATGGCGACGACATGAGAGGAAAAGAGAGGAGATTGCCATGCTTCTTCATCGTCTTGAGCTTAAGCTGGAGTTGGGTCATCTTGGTGGGAGGAGCAGCAGCAGCGCGGTCGACTGGGAAGCGTAAGGAGAGAGCCTTTTTTTTTTAAAAAAAAAAAGCCATGTCATATAGACTAAACTTATTTTACGGTGTTAGTGACACGTAAGCTTATTTGACGGTGTTAAATTTGAGCCCAAGTCTTTCTAAAAATATAACGACCAAGTTTTAAATGGACTAAACTTGAAGGATCAGAAACAAGGGTTTTAAACTTGAGAGATGAAAACCAAAATGAATGTAAGCTGTGAGGACTAATCATTATATTAACCCTATATTGTTTGTTTGTTGGTTGATTTGATCATTGCAAAAATTATTTAGGATTCCTTATATTTAAGGAAAAGCTCTGTTCAAACTTCTACAAAATAAAAAGGCAACTCCTTTAATTTGTGGTTAAGAATTAGACAATTCTAAAAATAATTGGATCATATTTGACTCAGAAGAATGATTGGTCATTAGCAAAGATGATCTCAAGCTCAACATTAAAGAAATCAGAGCTAAGTTGAAAGCTCCAAAGAATGGTAACTGTTATACTATTTCTTTTGATTCTAACCCATCAAATAACTGTTTTATCTGTCAAGCTGGTATTTAGTTACCTTGATTAGTGATTGTTTTGGATTTAATTTGGATGGAGAAAAATGGTAAAAACCCTATGGTACCATGCTGTCCAAAATGCCATATGACTTGCTATGAATGATTTAAAGATAGCATAGGGGTTAAAGGATGGAATATGGTTAGAAAATTGTGTTGTAGCTTGATTTATAGTAGAATTTCAACTTGTAGCCCTAGAGTATATAATTCAGCCAAGCATGGAACATGAGGCTCAAGTTTGATTCAAGTTGATTTGATACTTTCATTGAGTGTAGAAGATGAAATTGTATAGGATCATGTCGAGAAAATGTATTTGAAAGTATTAAAATTAGAAATAAAATTTTTGGATTCGCTTTCTTGACTAGATTAGAAACCATAAATGTCAAGAACAATCAAACATAGCAAAGTTTTGTGTAGTGTTTTCAAAAAAGAAGAGAGTCATTAGCATAGAGCATATGAGATATGTGTTGTACAATTTGTGAGCTTACCATTGAGTTGAATATGGTATTGTATCGTTGAAAGTCATTGTTGAATCAGATTAATCCATTTATTAGGGAAGTCTATACATTTCATAGTTGTAACAACAAATTTCTAAGAAAGTCTGTCAAAAGATTTTGAAAAATCAATTTTTAAAGATGCCAATTTCTTTCTCTTTACCCTAGCTGAATGAACCTAGGACATTAAATCTGTTGCTAACATGATGTTATCAAAGATCAATTGACCCTTAAGGAAGCCTCTATGGTTAGGAGCGGTTAGTCTTTCGATTGGTTTTTTGATATGACTGCAAAGCACTTTAGAAATAATTTTTTAAGTCACGTTACAAATTCTAATAGGCCAAAAATCTTTAAAGGATTGAAGCTTATTAGTTTTTGGGATAAGAATAACCACCATTTTATTTAGAGATTTTGAAAGATGGTCAAAGTGCCATAAGTGAAGAACCATATGAATGATGTCATTAGGTACGAGATCCAATGCCTCTGGAAAAAAAAAAAAAAAAACTTGCACGAAACCCATCTGGAGCAGGAGCACTATCTTTGGGTAAGTCAAAAATAGCTTTTTGACCTCTAACAAAGTTAAAGGATTCATGGGACGTTGTATATGCTCCATGTTAAGAGCAAGCATAGAAATATGAGAAAGACCATTCAAAACTTCCTCAAAGGATGACAGGTTCTGTTGCTAGAAGATAAAGCTAAAATGTTCTATTGCCAACTCCAAAATTTCAACTTGATTGAAGGTTCATCTTCCATTAGGTTTTTCCAAGCTACGAATGGTATTTTCAGCTATTCTCTTATTAATCATAGCACAAAAGTATTTAGTGTTTGCAAGCTCTGAGGGGTATTTGTATATTAACCATAGCGTGATAGTAACTATTTGATTTTTGCACGCTGAGCCCACTAGCTAGCTTCATAATCATATATGAATTCCAATTCATGTTTGGTATCCTGGAAATGAGAAAGTTGAACAAATGAGATGGGCATGCCCTGATCAATTTTCATGGATATATCATGAAGGTTCTTTTTTTTTTTTTCAGCTAGAGAAATAGGAGAGGTGCAAGATTGCCCATGTGTATTTTGCCCCAGCCAGTTGAGGTAGAAAAAGTCCTATTTAGCTTACTATGGGCTCTGAAGTAAGGAAAACCTTCAATCTCTTGAGACCAACAAAATGAATGATTTGCTCACATTCTTTGAATTGATGCCAAGAGGCTTCAAATCTTCTTGGAAGCTTTTTGTGAACTACACTTTTAAAAGAAAATTTTTTGACTACAATCGGATGCAGTGAGAGAAAGAGTGGTGACATGAGAAGAGGGCAAGACTTGTATCCAATCAAAATTGCAGAAAGCCATGTCCAATCTTTCCGTTATATTTCCTAAGCCATGCCTATTATTGGTCAAAGTGAAAGCCGAACCGTGTTGAGTGATATTGATAAAATTGGGATTTTCAAGACATTGTAATAAACTAGTCCAAGCAGTAGAAGACCCAATAGAACAAGTTTTATCATCTAAAGATAGAATCTGATTAAAATCTCTAAGAAGCATCCAAGGTAAATCAATATTAGAACTAACAGAGTCAATCCATCACTACAAAAAAAAAAATCATGTGATTAGTAATGGAATTTAGTGACAAAATCTAATTAGCGACAAAATTTGTTTCATCACTATTTGTTCTGTTACTAATTAGATTAGTGACCAAATTTCAAGTTGCTAATTATCAACGGAACAGTTTCATCTCTAACCTAATAATAGAAAA